TTTTTTTTTTTTTTCCTGTATATTCTTATATAAAATCCCATAGTCAAAGTTATGACTTCATGGCATTTTGACGGTACATAGCTAATTGCTTATGATTATGAATGAATTGTAATATATATATTCTAAGAGATTCATGTTACAATTATTACCACGTGTAATTTTTATTTTTTTTTATTGTGTATCATTTTGTAAATGCCAATTTCAAGGTTTAATCATGACTCATTTAGTTATGAGTCAAAATATCTGGTGGTGGGAATTATACAAATAAAGATTTAGATTAGCATTAATACATAAGATCATAAGTTCGAACTCACTATCATTATCATAATTTTAATGGATAAAAACAATTCATATGAATATTCAATATTTGAAATTACTAATAACTTCATTATATATATAAAATAAGCTACTCTTATTTACTTTTAGAATAAATATATATTTGAAATTATTTACTTTAATTTAATATAAAATGTAAGTTTCAAAATTATTTATTTTTGTATAAATATATTTTTCAAAGTTGTTTATTTTTAATTTTTTTACTTTTAAAATTTTATATTTTAACAAACGTGTACATATACCTGTTAGTACCTTCGTATACTTATAAAATTCATGAATACTTGTGTGAATATAGTTAAGTGAGAGGGGTTACTATCCATATTTATTTTCATTTCCTCCTAGTCTCATTATTTTCATTCTAATTTGAACAAAAGTATTTCTTGTATTTACTATGAATGAATGAACGATGCTCATGATTTTGTCGTCTAATTCAACTATACAATAGAATAAATTAGAGAGGGAAAAAAAATCATGAAAAAAAAATAGAGGGAAGAGAATAAAGAGAAAACTGTCTTTATTCTGGCGCGAGTTCCTGAAGCAACGGCACGGAGTGAGTCACAGAAGTATGGTAGCATGTGGGTTACAGTAAATATGAATATATCTTACTTATAATCTAAGAAAATGACAAATGGATTTGGATTCATAGGTCACAACTAGCTAGGTAGGAGCAGATTCTTTGCTTTCGTTTTCATCCATATCGAGATATTAAAAATGGAATACTTGAAAAAAGGAAGCACCATGTGAATTCCAATTTAAAAGATATATGTTCTATACTTGTATCAACACTGTAATACACGAAGAGAGAGTACATGATAGAAAAGAGATAAATAAAGAGAAATAGTGTTAACGTGAGTGGAGTTTAGTTTGTGAAATGAACTCGTTAATTATGCCTAATTCAACACTCTTTAAGTAATGTATCTACTTTCTCGCAAAGATGTGATGTGATATATACGTGAGTCATGTCTTGGTCTTTGCTTCCAAATTTTAGGTTGCATATTCAACTCTGATACACGACGCGTTGACCTCTCTTATATCGCGTGTATATGTTGCTTGTACCGTAATCTGTGATTCAATCTCTAGCTTAATCCCAAAGGTAATTTGGACTTATATCCTGATTTAAGCAAATTAATTCCAACGTACGTTCCAATGCCATCTCACTGGTGGCAACTAATTGGACTTCATTTTACAGACTGATAAATGCTTGGATACGCAAATGCTACTCTACATACACTTTTGATGAATATGAAATAATTAGACCCAAAAGAAGAAGAAAAAAAATATGGCACACTACGTCCTACTAATAGAAAAAGGACAAGCTTCCAACACTACCACTGATGAGCTTGAAGATGACCCTTGTCTCTTGCCAACTAATCACCGTTCTCCGTGTAGAGATAGAAAGAAATAAAAAATAATATATTTTTTAATTAGAACCAATACACTAATTCTCTACTTGATAGTGGGTGAGGAAATTGGAGCGAATCGTAAAAAATAATAGAAGAAAATTGATTCCATATCCGATCTCACGACGCGTTGACCTCTCTTATATCGCGTGTATATGTTGCTTGTACCGTAATCTGTGATTCAATCTCTAGCTTAATCCCAAAGGTAATTTGGACTTATATCCTGATTTAAGCAAATTAATTCCAACGTACGTTCCAATGCCATCTCACTGGTGGCAACTAATTGGACTTCATTTTACAGACTGATAAATGCTTGGATACGCAAATGCTACTCTACATACACTTTTGATGAATATGAAATAATTAGACCCAAAAGAAGAAGAAAAAAAATATGGCACACTACGTCCTACTAATAGAAAAAGGACAAGCTTCCAACACTACCACTGATGAGCTTGAAGATGACCCTTGTCTCTTGCCAACTAATCACCGTTCTCCGTGTAGAGATAGAAAGAAATAAAAAATAATATATTTTTTAATTAGAACCAATACACTAATTCTCTACTTGATAGTGGGTGAGGAAATTGGAGCGAATCGTAAAAAATAATAGAAGAAAATTGATTCCATAAAAAACAGAAGAATCCCTCCTTTAATATTTTGTTTTTTTTATTTAGAAATACATTCTAAAATATTTTTAAAAGACTTAAAAAATATTTTATTTTAAAGAAGTTAATTTATAAATAAGCTCATTTAAATTTTAAAAGGCTTCAATTCAAATATTGCGTAGATCATTTTCATGAGAGAGAAAAAATGAAAACGCCAAATTGGATGCTAAAAAGACAGCTATTAACTTTCCGATTTATTAGTCGTTATTGTAGAGCATGGTTACTTATTATGTTGAGTACTTTGGATAATATAATTATTCTATGTGAAACATCATTATTTGAGTTTCTTATTGTTGGCTCCAAGTGATTATGAAAAAGCTTGTTAACAAGGCATAAACTATATCAGCATCAAATTGTTGGCCAGCACTAATGTATAGAGCCTATAACTTGTTAATTGTTGCTTTTAGGCTGGATCATTGTTTAGTCACCCTATCCAACATCACCTTTCACTAAATTCTTAGTGCACAATTATTTTTTAGTTATTTAAATGTAATGCCCATTTATTCTAAAATTAAGTAGAATCAATTTTAATATAATTAATTTTGGATGACTAATTTTTGTCAATATAGACCAAAGCTATCGTTAATTTTCAACTCTTCCCACAAATAAAACTATATATATAGTTAAGATGTTTGTAAAAATTAATTTCAATCATAACTTTTGTGTTAAAACATTTTTTTTTGATAGATCTATGAATAGTACAACGAATTAATTCTTAGTGAAAACTAAACAGATCTTAAATGATTTCAACGTTAACTTTGAAGCAGTCTAATTATATTATAGCTACTAATGACGTGGTTAAGGTAAGTTCTTCATGATTAAGATTGCGTAACAAATTTTATATATGCTCTGCGTGATATCCCTGCTTTAATTTTACTCTCTGTTAATTTACTGTGTGGTTAATTTATTAAACTTAAACCTTAATTCACTATTTAATGGATGAAATTAGCTTTTACTTTTACTCTTTAATTTAAAATTCTTCATGCCGTTTTTTTTTTTTAGTTTTTAGGAGGAAAAGCTAAAGTTCAAGAGATAAATTTTTTTTTTCTGTTTTTAAAATTAATGTACTATCCTTTTAAAATTATACCACTATATCACAAGTTTCGGTAAAAAAAAAACTAAGAATTTATAACAAATCTAACAAATGTATTGTTAGTGAAAATTATTAAACCTCATATACAGTGTTTTCAGCTTCTGAAGGTGCTAATGACTTGATTGGATGACGAATTATAGAAATTAAAAAAAATTAAAATTTTTAATTTAAATTATTTTTTCATCATTTATTAAATATTTTGTTTGAATAAATTAATTAAAAAAAATTTAAATATTAATTTTTAGTTTAAATATGATAATTTGATTTTCGCTACAAATAAATTGATTTTAAATATATTAATATTTTAAAATTAAATTTTGTAAAAAAATAAATATTATATATTTTTT